ATCGCTATACCAAAAGTCCTTTTGTAAGTTATCCCAGGCATACTTTGACAACCGTTTTCATTATGTCCCTCAAAGGCACCGTCATCTAACTGTGAAATTGGCAACTTTGAATGCAGTGCAATAGCGAGATCCCCAACTAAGTAATTGCCCAAGTCCGCCTGTAAAAGGCATTTTCCGAGGAGAAATCGTTTAAAAAGATGGATGCTTTTGGAGTCGCCACGTTCACCAACGTGGTTCCTCAAGGCAGTAGTGCCTAGAAGTTTTGAAACCCGTCTTTCATTGTGAAATCACGTTTTCAACACCAGATATTCTAGAATTCAATTTTCAGCTCAATATTTCCACCCACTTAGTGGGCGTGGCCACCCCGCGGCATCCACTTGCTGGTGGAATACATATTCTCCAGCGAGACTTCGGCAATGTTTTATTTAGAGTCTCGCTATAGTACACCATTGAAATCATAACAATCTCCATATTCAGTGGACGCTGCCTTGAAGAGCGTTGAAATGTGGAATTTGTGCAAACGTCGCCTTACAAAGCAAGGATCTCAGATTCAATCATTTGATAAGCTTTGCTCCGAGCATAAATTATTAGGTTGTTCCTTAAGTTCGTAGCGTTTTCATTTTCGTACTCATATCTTGAGGAGCGGTTGATTTGCGGCAAGGTGCGTATATGATTTGGAAAGGCTGTTCGTGCTCTTTGAAATACGTCTACTGATTTCGGTGGAAAGCTGATTCACTCGGATCTCGCAACTTCCAAAGATGGAAATTTTGAAAGGCAGAAAGGAGTAATTTCGGCATTTGCGCCTTTTCCCTTACAAAAGGAGCGCTTTTGCACAGATTTTCGTGTCAATTATGGAACATGGCGCTCACACATCAATATGAGACGAAAAAGGATTGGATTGCTACAAAAAATCAGGGGCTGAGCAAGGTGTGCCTGAACAAGATTTTTCGGAAAATGGACAGGACGTCCTTCACTTAAAACAGCTGTACAAGTAGGCGATGGTCAACCATACCGTAAGCAATCCAACTGCACCGACTGAACCAGGTCTTACCGCAGAAAAAGCCTAAAAGGCAGATCCACTGAGTTTTTCACGACGAAACATGGCGTCATCGGTGTCGTCAAAACTGTCCTCCACGATTTGACTGGAAGGTACTTCAGTACCCAAAGTACTTTCCAAACCTCGCTCTATCAGATTATCATTTGCTCGCTCTCTGGCAAACCTCCTGAATGATGCATGTCTCGATTTCAGTAAGTAATTTGAGCGCTGGTTAGACGAAATTCTTGGGACTCGACGCGCTGCCGTTTGAAAAAATTGTGATTGAGAAGCTAACAAGAATGTGCCAAAAGGTCGTGCGCTTCAACGAGGAATACAAATTCAATTGGTTTTTACACTAATTTGATGATTTTGTTGGTTTATAAAGCTACGAACTTATGAAACGACCTAATAAATCCAATTTAGTAGTGCTACTGCAAGGAAAAACATGGGCTACCCAAAGCACCTTTGAAACCCTTTTTGGCATTTGATGCATTTTTATATTTCCAACGCATTTTCAATCCTCATATTCGAGCAGAGAAAGTTTAGTCGATTTTTTTGTCTGATTAAAAGCATAAGAGAAAAAGGTTTTCATTACTTCATGCAGATTGACAGAAATGTGGGTGAAACATAGGATGATAACCACTGGCTATCCCTCTTGCTCGCCCCTCAAAATGTTCAGTGAAATCTGCTTATGTGGAAACCCTATTACAAGCTTTCCAGTTTTCAAAATCCTCCAAAACATTCACAGTGGCTCAAAATGTGGAAGTCTACCGTCTACCGTTCCTACAGCAACAAGAAGCAATCAGCGATTCCTTCTGTACTGTAAGTTTACGTAAGCTGAGCCAAGTCCGCAAAAGAATGTCCGATAGGTCCGCCAAAGACCCCCACTGAAAGATGGGTATTCCGTGGTCTGCAATCAAGTGGTGGAATACTGTTGGTACACCCTACAATACCGCTCACATTTTTTGAAAAAAGACGCGAATGTACGGACATGCCCATACATGTATGGACCAGTGGCGATCCCAGGATTTCGGACCGGGGGGGGGGGGGGGCGGAAAAAATTTTTTTCAAATGAAGGTGCGTGGCGTTAGCCACGCACTCCGAAAAAATTTTAGGGGTACTTCTTAAAATTTTTACGGGTCCCTAACATCTAAAATCTAGAAAAAGGGGGCGTGGCGTTAGCCACGCCTTCGAAAAAAAAATTTTTTTATTAGGCTAATTTGAATTTTTAAAAAATTTCAAAAACTATTTTAATTATTTACAAAAATAAACAAGTCGTTTGCACATTTTTATAACCCATATAAATAAGTATCAAAAATTTCGCGACCCATTCTCGGGGGGGGGGGGGCGCCCCCCCCCCCGGACTTCCCCTCGGACCGCCACTGGTATGGACATGTAGCGACATGTCCATACATGTCCATGCGTGTCAATACATGCATGGACATCACCGTCGCGTGGCCATATCTCGCTTCAGAGTGGACGAAATCTGAATCCAAAGCCGCCATTCGATTCAGCTCGGCGCGAAAAATCTTCTGATATATTGCAAGTGGGGGGACGATGTGAATTTGTTCTGCGGAGGTCCTTTCGCGCATATGTGAAGCAACGCCTACCCAACTTAGAAGACTTTACTAAGTACTATTCGATAATACTGTTCTTGTAGATTATTGTGCGCTGAAAAATAGGCTCAGACTTCTTCCAAAGGAGATAGAAGCGTTAGTGAATTTTGGAAAAATCATGCGTTAAATTCTGCTCGCCATAACTTCCTTCGGAATAAGTATACTTTGAATCTGAAAACGGCGCCTTCTGAGCTCATCAAGGCGAATCTTCATATATACAGCATGTCCTTGATATTGCGATTTCAGTATTCTTGAATCTTTCTGAAGACGTCTTTTCGGGAAGGTGTAAAGCAGCGGGCATTGTCCGGAGTACATTCCAGCAAGGATTTTTCGATAGCACTTTTTCTGTAGATTATGATGTGCTTAGTAGCCGCACGTTTCTTTTCAAAGAAATAGAACGGCTGGTGAATTGTGGAAAAATCTTGTCGTCCCAAATTCTACTCGCCATAGCCGCAGGATCGAAGCTATCTTGCTAAGCAGATGTGAGTTTCGAAATCACAGGTCAGATGACTCCTACGAGCAATTAAGAGAACTTCTGGTTACTCGATTTTTTTCTCGTTTCACGCTCTGAAGCTCGCCAGTGGGTTTTGGTCAAAATGTTGATGATATATGCGTATCTGTCAGAAAACTTGCCTGCTTGTTTTTCTCATTCAGTTACTAGAAATTGTGCTATCGAATGGTGCATGACTCAGGCTCCAGCCTGTGAAATCCTGCGAGTTACGAGCCCACGAAAATACGTCCTCATGAATTTTGATCAAAATATAAAGATCACATATCTCGTCGAAATCCCTCCGTGTGCGCTTGTAAAACGTGCTGATCAAATCCTTTCACATTTTTAATGGATCTTACTGTGTTAGATTTCGTGCTTTGAGCTCTAGCCACAAAATAGCTTTGATATTCAATTGAGCAGCTGAAGCAGACTCACGCACCATATTCCAGTGGGAGTCATTCGACGAAGCGAACATAATATCTGCAACGAGCATCATAAGCGCTCACGGAGGAATTTCGACGAGATATGCGATCTTTATATTTTGGTCAAAATTCATGAGGACGTATTTTCGTGGGCTCGTAACTCGCAGAATTTCATAGACTGGAGCCTGAGTCATGCACCATTCGATAGCACAATTTCTAGTAACTGAATGAGAAAAACAAGCAGGCAAGTTTTCTGACAGATACGCATATATCATCAACATTTTGACCAAAACCCACTGGCGAGCTTCAGAGCGTGAAACGAGAAAAAAATCGAGTAACCAGAAGTTCTCTTAATTGCTCGTAGGAGTCATCTGACCTGTGATTTCGAAACTCACATCTGCTTAGCAAGATAGCTTCGATCCTGCGGCTATGGCGAGTAGAATTTGGGACGACAAGATTTTTCCACAATTCACCAGCCGTTCTATTTCTTTGAAAAGAAACTGCGGCTACTAAGCACATCATAATCTACAGAAAAAGTGCTATCGAAAAATCCTTGCTGGAATGTACTCCGGACAATGCCCGCTGCTTTACACCTTCCCGAAACTCAGAAGGCGCTGTTTTCAGATTCAAAGTATACTTATTCCGAAGGAAGTTATGACGAGTAGAATTTGACGCATGATTTTTCCAAAATTCACTAACGCTTCTATCTCCTTTGGAGAGAAGTCTGAGCCTATTTCTCAGCGCACAATAATCTACAAGAACAGTATTATCGAATAGTACTTAGTAAAGCCTTCTAAGTTGGGTAGGCGTTGCTTCACATATTCGCGAAAGGACCTCCGCAGAACAAATTCACATCGTCCCCCCACTTGCAATATATCAGAAGATTTTCCGCCCGAGCTGAATCGAATGGTGGCTTTGGATTCAGAATTCGTCCACTCTGAAGCGAGATATGGCCACGCGACTGTGATGTCCATACATGTCCATACATTCGCGTGTTTTTTTTTTCAAAAATGTGAGCGGTATTGTACAGTTTGGTAACCCGAGAAATTGCTATTACTCTTACCATTATCGCCACCCCTATTTTCTAACCCTCTCCCATGAAAAATTAAGCAGTTCCTACTGGCATGTGGGTCTCATTTCAAGAGTAACTTATGCAGATGACGATGTGGATCAAATAGATCAAACACTACAAATCAAGAAGCGATTTTGACTCCACATTTTCTGCTATTGTCACTTTTCTGAAGTACTGAAAGTTTATGGGCTCACCATATTCACAGCCATTCAAAAAAACTACCCGTAAATAAAACATTAGCAAGCAGTTTCTAAGCGACTGCTCCTTAGTGTCAATGCTGCCGCTGCTGTGCTTTATCATGCTTTTTAAAAGCTCCAAGTTTTTGTGAACGTTTTTTTTCTGCAAATTAAAACATATTCTCTTTCGCTTAACTGTTTTATTAACTGCAATATACAATTGAAGAGCATAAAAATACAATAAATGATCGAATATTACATGTTAATAGCGTAAATCGGGGACGATTGGGGTGTGCACAGTCATATCACGGTTCACTCGACGGTTTCAACGGGATGATCGGTAGATAGAATAAAAAGACCGGGATGATACTACGGGGCAAAGAGAAGAGATGAGGCAGGAGCAAATTCAACACTGGGATAATTATTTCGAGAAATTGTGAGAAATAAACTAATGAAACGATGTAAACATAGACAAATTTCTGTACACTTCACCGGGTGTGCTGCAGAAAAAAATAGATATTAGATTATAGCTAATGTTCATTTAACAGTTCACCGAGATAATGGTGGAAGAAATGCGAAACCGGGAGCATAGAACCGGAAAAGAACTGGGAGGGGGTAGCAGAGCTATATGCATTCATATAAAAAATGGGCAGGACTGAATGGGATGGGTGGTGGGCGGCGAAAGACGAATCGGGTGCCGTTCTGCTTCGAATTCCGCTACCGTCAGAGATGAGAACAACTAGCGGCTTCTAGCATATTTGGAGAGAGAGAAAAACAAGGGCGGAGATGTTCGCGAGAGAGAGATAAGGGGAGATAGGATGAAATGAAATACTATGTACAAGACATGCACAAATCGGCAAGTTTCAAAGAGTTTGAACTTCTGAAAAGCATGATTTTGGGCCAATTTGTGCCTGTCCCAAATGATAGCTAAGAAATGTACACAAACATTATAATCTGAAACGAAGGATGTGTGCTGAAGGATGAAACAGTATCGACGTGTGTCATTAGAGGAAAGAGGCTCTTGTATCACATCTAGAGGGGAGGGCGACGTAAAATAGTACAAAGCAGGATACATAGATGTCGCCGAGGTCGGGAAGAATCTAGTCGAATGCCTAAGGACACTATGAACCAACAGACATGGTGATATAAAGTAAACACACACACACACGGATACACATACACACAACTAAACATATGAACTAGGGAAAGTACACACACACATACAGAGTTTCGTGGATATTGCGTACACACACGCACACACACGCAGAGACTGACAGACACAGAAGTACGAGAGAGTGGGGGTGTGAGGCAGCAGCGAACATATCACCTTGTACTAAAAAGGATATTGTTTTCAAGAGAATGATCACTGATGATAAAATGATGACGAGAACGACAGTGAGAGAAAAGAGTAAAACAATAACAACTACACCGGGCACTAACCGAAAGAGAATAGTAGAGGAACAGCTATGTACTCTGAACATATTTGTATGTATATAGAAGTCTGTAAAGGCCATATAGCGAAGTTGAAGTGTTTCGAATCTGTGCAGTATGTATGAGTAGAGGAATGGGGGAATATACTGAAGATACGCGCGCTCGCGAGTAACGCTAACCGGGAGTGACGAAAGAACCACGATTATAATCCATATATGGATGTAAGGACACACACACATTGAACACACATAATATCAATCAGTTGGATCAATCAGAGGGTGGCGGTGGATACAGCGCGTAAAACTTTTCCTTGGTGAAAGATACGTGGACAGCGAGATAGTGAAGAGGTGTTATAGTAGGATGTTGGGACATACGGTGGGAGTACGGTACATGTACTGTACGCGTGATGCGGCGACGACGCTGGAAGAGAGCCGTGTAGACCGAGAGATGTGTGACTAAAACTAGCGACGACGGATAGCTAGCTCTTCACAGCGCGACGAATGGGATAGATACAGAGCTCGGAAGCATCAGCAGCGATAGCAGCAGCAGTGGCCGAGGGGCAGAGTGTACGCCTAGGTGCGAGTACCTACAGAAGCGATGGAACGGCTAGCTCGTACTGAGTTCAGACGGTGACGGCTGACGACTCGGCTGCTTCCTGTAATGAACTGGAAGCTGAAGCTTGAAATAACGGTAAAAACAAGCTCAAGAATACCTTCTTGAGTCGTTCATTCAGCTCACAAGCTTCAGAATCTTCCATGTCCTCGTCAACGTCTTGGAATTCTTCTTTTGCTCCAAGAGAACCACTGGAAGCCAGCGGTTGGGTGATGGGGCCATGAGAGACGTTAAGCGCCTAAAATAAAATGGATCATAGTCTCAAATGTTTTGCCCGAAGCGCAGAAGGCTGAGTTCATTCTCCTCAAATTCATGAAAGTTATGTTTGTGATTAGACATTCCGAACCAACCGGCGTCCTAATAACTGGAGTAATTTGCAAGAAGTTATTCTTATTTCAACTGCCTATGTTTCAAATTTTTTAATGGTTTCCACGTCAGAATCATCTGGCAAGACAAAATTAGCCTTGAGTGGTATTTTCTGGAAGTGAAGGATCTCTTCTTAGAGCAAAAAGAAGTCTAGATTTCCAATATTTCTAAAGTTGTATATTACGGTTATGATGGTGATTAAAGAAGTTAGACAAAACGGATACGAGGAAAACCTCTTTGAAAAAGTTCTACCGTTGTTCTTATCTGGTATAGGAACTGACTTTTGAGGAAGGTAAGGGAGACAGGAAAGGTCTTCCTATCGCTGACTGCTCTACTGCATGAATGCATAATAATGATTTATTTTTGAATAGACTATTGAAGGACGCACATGCAGCCAATTCAGAACAATTTGATTGCTCTGGGACACCGTTGACGGCGGAGGACATGGTGGATTCGACAGCGCAAGCAGAGATGTCGCATCGGCCAATGCTGATGGAGTTGGACGAGGTCGATCTGAATTTTGTGGTAGCTCAGAAGTCCAGAAAATCAAAGTTACAAGAAAGCATTGCAAAAAAGGTTCGTCCGTCAAAACTGACCTGTTCCTGGCGAACCATCTCTTGCAGCTGCTTGACTGTTGTTCACGACACATTTTCTCATATGCTTTTCCAAGGTGGAATGAACCGAGAAAGGCATTTGACAGATGTAGCAGCGGTAGGTTTCCTAGAAAGATCAAGACGATTTAGAAAATTTTGTGGTCACGATACTAAGCTTACCTTTCCTTGCTGACCATGTGTTCGCATATGCCGGGTAAGTTTAGAACTCTGGGCACATGCATATGGGCAGAGTTTGCATTGGTAGGGTTTCTCACCAGTGTGACTGCGCAGGTGAACAATCAAGTTTGAGCGATTTGTGAACACCTAAAAAATTCTTTTTGTATGTTGGTAATACTGCATCATCGCAGTCATGACGGTCATCAGATTTTCAGACTTCTATACTGGAATCCTGTCCTTTAGTACTTAAGCAATAATCTGTCTCACACAAATCAGTTTTCAACACTGATGGAAAAACAGCTAATTTTGGTTTTAGTGAAGATTTTTTTGAATTTTTCAATTCCATATTGGATTCCCATATTTTTGTGGGTCTCTGACTGCACAGTTAATGGCCATTTATGTCATGTTTATTTCCCTGCTGTTTAGAACAAGCTGGTGTCGTTCAAATCGCGGTTAGTCGTGATTCGTGTTTATTTTAGAAAAATTTCCTGGTGCTGTGAAAAATAAATTCGAATGTCAAAAAATTTATGGGGACTCTTGATCGCGGTATGTAAGTAACCCTCTAAACTTGATTAGATTACGACCTAGGCACTTTAGAAGGCCGAATTGAGCAAATTGTAATTGGCAATTTCCACTTATACCAAGCACAGCCTGGGAAACGGACATTTTGCACTACAGTATGCTACAGTCAATGGCTTGCCGCAGCTCGTAATGCGTCAAATCTTCTTCCCTCTGCGTCCTGTATGAATATATTTTAGCACAACGCATCGCGCAATAAGCCTATAGCCTTAGCCCAGAACGAAATCTGTGCATCTTATGTCGGAAAACTGGAAAACTCCGAAATGGCAGAAAGTTCAAGCTTTGAGATGTCTGTTTCCGCGCAGAATCTCCTAAGTTGCAAAATGCACTGCTACTAAGCGTCTCTCGGCGGACTGCTGGTCCTTTCCGGCATGCTACTGCATATCGTGCGAGGGCCAGTAGTCCGCCGAGGCCTAGTGGCGGTATTCGTTATTCTGTCATTTCATCCATGCTAATTTTAGAAATTTTCATTCCACGCCAAAATTTGCACGTACTCGGGCAGAGTTTCTTTTTTAGAGATTCTACTCGAATGTCTGATCGAAATCTCAGGGTTTAGAAAATCCCACAACTTTGAGAGATTCGAGTTAAGCAAGCAGCTATCCTCTACGATCGCATGCTTGAATATACGGCCGCCGTATGAACAGAGAGGTTTACGCAATCACGGCGAAAACCAGACGCAAGTAGCGAATCGCTTTTTATGCATACTTTGCTTACGTGTGGCACTAGTTCTTCCTGACTGGCAGCAAGCACAGCTCTTTGCTGAACTTTCTCTCTAAAGTGGAATTTCGCGTGGTGAAAACCTTGAGACAAGTCTCGTCGGGTGGCTGAGATGGTTGCGTGCGCATCAACTTCAGTTCAGAGTAGGGAGGAGGATGGAAAAAGTGGAAAAGTTGCCCACCTTGCTGCAAAACGTGCAACGTTCTTTTTTCACGTTCATCTGGCGTCGAGCAGCCGGTTCGGCGAGGTCACCGTCATCCACAACGATCAGCTGAAGAACAGAACATGGCATTGGCTGGTGTGATGGGAGAGATCGCATTAAGGTGAAACGATCGATGGGGAAAAAGAAAAGAAGAAATAGTGTAAATAGGGGAGAAAAGCTAGCTGGCAAGCAAGCACCTGTTCGCTTTCATCCTCGGTGCGCGGATTTTTCTTCGGCGGTGCGGCATCTTCCGGAGAAAGACGTCGCCGTATTGCCGATGCGGGACGTACTGGATTCGGAGTGAATGCCGATGGTTCGTCGCTAAAACAAAACTATTTTGCAAAATCCCCTCTATTCCAAATTTTCCGCAACTCAAACATGTTCTCGACAATCTTCTTGCCTTCTGGAGCTTTTTTCCATCTCAAAAGCAGACAGATTCAAAGGTCAGGCAAGAACAGGAAGCAAACGAAAAGAATTCGTCGTAATCGGATCAACCCAGCAAACACTCGACATTTGCTGGGAATACAACTGGTAGTCCAGCAAAAAATTTCCAGAAGAAAGCTTTGAACTAGCTGTCAAAGTTTACGATAGGTTACGTCATGGCACGGAAATATGCTAAGAAAAGTACAGGCTTACATTCCTTCACGTTGAGCATAAAAAAAGAGTAAAAATTCAAAAATTCAACCAAATGAGCATACACAAGCCAGTGCACCACAAACTTGCAATTGTTTGTCTTTTTGGAATTTCGGGAAAAACATCTCCTGATTTGTCCAAACGTAATGGCCCTTGAAAAAAATCTGAGAAAAAATGGCAGACCATCATAGGTCAAATCTCATACTTTGATTCAGCTGCCACTAAAGTCCACTTCTAAAAGTGCTACATTACTGTTGTCCGCAAATACACAAACTTATTCATTGTAAGAAAAAGTGCAATACTCGTAACTCTCCACCGATTTTGGTCAAAGTCAACAATAGCAGGTGCTGGAAAAAAAGAGCAACTTATTTTCAACCTACAAAATCGCGCTTTATTCGGAGAAACTATAAGAGAACTATATCATGGCGACATTTCACTACTTGTGTTGAATGTTGTAATCCACAAATGTCGCTTTTCGTACTTTTCTGGTGTAAGCAGTTTGAAACAGGTGTGTATATCAACTCTTACAACTTGTTCCGGTGAGACTTTCTTATTAGAGTTTGCGATCAAAAAAAAATCGTGGGATGAGGCATGTAGTGAGCGACTTGACTGTAAGTGCATAATTTAATTCTTAGGGTTCAAATCTTCGGTATGCAATGAGAAGGCAAAAAAATAAACATGGTCAAAATTAACATTAAGATGCCCCCAAATAATCATAGCAAAAACTTCCAAGACGAACACATTGCTGGATTTGTTGAAATAAATGTCGTTTTATTATATAGCCCGGTAATGGACAGCTGTGATGAACAGAAATAATAAAAAATTTCATTTTGCAATTTGCAAAAAAAATCTTATGACAATAAGATGAATCTGCATTGAACCTGATATTTACGGGTCAAGAGTAATTTTGAAAGCTTTGAGTTTTTGTCGCGATGTCTGCTTCAGGATTACCTCAAAAGAAAAAAGGCATTAGCGCAGATTTTTGCATCGATATGAAGCTGATTCCTAACTTTCTCTCCTCACCCCCCTCCCTTGATTCCGAACCAAAATATGAATTTCTGTTAGAAAACGAAATGCCTCACTTCTTCTGTAATCCAGCGAAAAGTCCCGGAGACTGTGTGGGTACAGCTGCTCCCAAGCCTAACAATGCTGCTGTGGCAGTGTTGTTCAGTTGTGATAAGTTTGGGTACTGAGACATTTGGGTATAGTAGTCCTGCATTGCAGATAAGACTGACGGCTGCATCCACATGTTCTGGAAGCGGTGCTGATACAGTGTGGTCCCAAGAAGATTTCAAGCTGTACCTGTAGAGAGGATGTAGGCGGTTGATGCTGATGTTGCATAGCCATAGCCATTTGGGACACCAAGCTGTTTCGAGGAGGTGTGATGCCGGTGGTGGCTGTGAACGCACTGGTAACATGCTCGTCGTCAGTCTCATCTGGTGGTAACGATCTGCAAAAAATTTAGGTACGAGATTAGGTTTCTGAAAGAACACCGCGACTCCCCTAGCCAAATACCTCTTCTGGTTTTTATCATGTGAACCGCTCGGATTGTTATTTTCTTGCTCACCAGCCTTCTCGGCAATTTCCTTCAATCGTTCTGAACAGAACGCGTTCAGCGAGAATGCGCTCTTCGCTGACGGTTGCAGTCCCTTACTAAGCACTGCAAAATAGAATCTTGTTAATATTTCATGGGAAATATCACCTCCCTCGATACAGTTCTTTGCCAGGTGACATGTGACGTAGGTCCATAAAGAGAGCGATTCGATGAAAAATGAGAAATTAAAGGTCGCATTACCATTTTTATCATCTCTGTACACAGATGAGAGCATGATCGTTGACTCGGCCGATGTCACCGGCGAGCTGTACGACGTACATGACACATCACCCTCATCAGGGAGATCTTCCTAAAATGGGGAGGAGTGGGAGCTGTTCGGGAACTTATGAGAAGGTAGCGAATGGGAAGACACCCACTTGGCAGATTCGAAGACCGTGGGCTGCATAGCAGTGCTTCAGGAGGTCCCAGATGTCGCTGTGTCGCTGCTTACACGAGTGGCACGTGACGGTTCTGGTTAGCGAATCTGAAAATTTGAAATTTAGTGGCAACGCCTTGGCACATTTGAACTTCCTCAATTCCATCATAATCAGCAACTGAGGCCCCGACCTAGCACTACCGCGCAAACCAGGTCTCCAAACACTGTATCCAAATGGAGAAAAGTGATTTGCAATTCCTGCAGCCCGGTGTGCGCCCCACCCACTTTAGTGCGCGCTCCGCCCCGAAATCTCCCCGACCGTTGACGCGTATTCACATAGCAAGCACAATCGAACATGTTTAACTTTAACATGTTTAAGCTTGTTCTTGGCAAGACCAGTGTCTAGAGCAGTGGTCCAAGTCTTTCAAAAAAAACCTTAGAAAGGAGGGGGGGGGCGTGTGCCTTGATGCAGCACCTGTGCAGCTTTGATGAGTAAACATCATAGAGCAACCCCCACCCTCCCCCCCCCCCTCCCGTCCCATCCCATCTCCTAAACGTTTCCTTAACAATTCAGATGGACTATGGTCCCTTACCAGAGCAAGAGATCACAGCATAGAAATGTGACCCCTTTCTTTACATAGTTTATGGTCTCTTCACCTGTGTGCACACTTTTGCCCGTCCTTCTAATTCCAGTTCCCCCCCCCCTCCCCCCTATTGACGTCCACTCAAAGTCTCCAATCGTTGATTTTTTGCGAATGCCACAGCTTTACTCTCCACGCCATATGACCGTTCGCTCTTTATTTGTATAGCTAACAAAACTTTGCTGCCTCGTTACCGCGGACCCCTCCAGTTCCTTTACAGTACATAGAACGAACGCTATTGGTCGAATACCAAAAGAGGTGGGACTTTGGGGCTTATCTGATAGTGGACTTTGGTCAAAAAATGGTTTTGGGTCGATGACTAAAGGAAGTTCTCTAGTGTTGAACATGTAGGCATTGAAATGAACGCAATTCAAAATTTAATGTATACCGAGCAAATTTTGTGATCCGCCAGTTCCAGAAAATGTTATCAAAATTTCTTATCAATGACTGTAATAATGCACTATGCAACACTTACTATTTTTCCATTCTAAAAAATTTCTGACTTTCTAAATATCTCGTTTGAAGATAACTGTATCCATCGACCAGAGTCAAAAGTGCAAATACAGACAAAGTCATCAGCTTCGGCAGTTTGCCATGATACTCAATTTCTCTTTTTTTCTCTGACTTTCTTCTTTGCAAATCTTTGCGCTTTCTCTTCCATGAATTTTTGAATGGATACTTTGGCCTGTCTCTCCTATGAAGGCGGTCTGGTGCCAAAATAACAAAGAGAAAACTGGATCCATACCAGAAAAATTTGAAAGTTTAGAAAATTTAATGTGCATTGTTAAGAAAATTCATACGAAAATACAGATGATTTTTGACACTTTCTTCTCGAAAAAGCTGTCCTACAATGCCAATAAAATCTAGGAATATGAAACGTACAGATGAATGAAAGTAAATAAAAATTCAAAGAGACCAAATCTCGTACTAAATTGCGTTGAAGTGAAACGGTATGATCCAACATGTTCAATCACGTGCCATAAGAGTGTAAAAAAGTTTTAAGAAATGTATTTCTCTACTTTCTATCCAGAAAAAAGTTTCAAAGAAATTTTCCGTTGGCTATGTACTATTCAGGTAAAATTACTCTCTAAAACTACTACACTCCCTGCCCCCGACGTTACAAAACAAATTCCTCCACTAGTCCCTTCCCTCTCACTCCCTCTCTCTTGTGCCGTTTCAACGTCGATGATGATTTCCATTCAACGTTCACGCAGTTGACGGCGCGCCTGTTTGCCATGGATTTCTGTTTGCGTTTCTTTTTTCTCGCTGTCGCAGCGGCCCGTTTGGATAGGATTGCAAACAACACCATATTTACAAGGGGCACACAACGTTTTCCGGGGTTCTGCCACGATTTGCAATGCCGAAGGGCTCGAGAAAAAGTGGTGCGGATGGAGAGGTTAAGATGGAAAAGAAATAAATCTGGAGAGGTTCCGGTTCCCGGAGCGGGTAACCAGTTGATCTGGCGTTACTCGCGATGATATCAAGAAAATGATATAAAGTGAAACGAGTGAAAACAACAATTAAGATAATTAGCGCCAGTCAAATAAATCTAATAAATGCAACTAATTCACAAGGTTGGGGAGGTATAAGTTTTCATAGCCTCTCAATTCGGTGATCTTTGGTTCCCCAACATTTTCTCAAGTCATTTGGGCACATCATTGTACCCATAGAAACTCCTTCTAAGGCAGTTACCGTAATCCTGGGGCAGCGACTCATAAGATCTTCGTCTTAGTTCTCATAAGTCCTCCTTTCGAGGCAATTACCGTAATCTCAGATAATTAGTAGGCGATTCGCTGCCCCAGGATTAAGGTAACTGCCTTAGAAGGAGTATTTAGTATCTTGAATTTATTTTACAAGCTTGGAAGCTCATCTGAAAGATATAACTCCCAAAATCTAATGGATGGGTAACTTCGACTCCTGGGCAATTTTCTGGAACATTTGAGACACTTTATCATTCCCTATGACAGCTTCTTTCTCAGGTCTTTACCGTAATCTTGCGAGAGCAACTCATGACGATCCTCGTTACCGTTCCCATAACCTCTTCTTCGAAGGCAACGATGGACGGTTTTGATAGAAGATTCATTCCCAGACCTTTTCTGCAGAAAATGATGAACCTCTCTAATTCTGTAGCCTATCCAGTAATTTTGGAACCTACGAATCAACCAGTACACAAAACCTGCCCCTCACCCCCTTCTCCATATATTTTCCGTATCCCCTTCTTCCCCCCCCCCCCGGATCATCATCAGCTCTTCTACTTCCTTGAAATCGTCCATTGCACTCGAGTCTTACTCATCTCCTGCATTTCAACTATCGAGGTGGCCGAGCCGAGACGCGACCTGCCATTGTGGTTTTTTTTTTCGTTCGTCCGCTCTCTCCTCTCACTCTCAATACCCGATCCTTCGTTTTCTTCATGCCGGCAAACAGTGGACAATGTGTGCTCAGCCATCCAGACATTTTCGCCAACGGACACTATGATTCCCGAGCATCGATTGGCATCAGAGTCGATTTTTGTAGAAATTTTTGGGCTGGATTCTAATAGATTCGCCCACTCGCTTACCCTGCTTACCCTACTTACCCAGGCGGATCGAACCAACCCACAAGCCGACCACAACTCTCATGACGAAGCCGTGGGCAGTGACAATTCATCAATCGCTGACCTCCATCAAGTGAGTCGAGGTATTTCTCTCTCACACTCGATCGTCGCTCGCTCGTTCGCCGCTCGACCACTCAGCCGATTTTTTCCACCCCTTTTGCCTACTGAGTTTACCAAGGACGAAAGCACATGACCCATGAGACGACCGAGGTGACGAGTTCCGAGCTTGTAATGTCCAGAAATCGAAGAATCGAAACGAGGAGGTGAATCATTGGTGTGAATAAGAGACCAAAGACGGGTGACTTGGTTCTGATAAGAAAATGGTTCTGAAGGCATTTTTGCAAGCGAATCAAATTCGCCATCAGGAGTATTTGGTCATTCTTAGGGCAGTCTAGAGGGGTTCAAGATCGTGCCCGGTTCTACAGATCAAGAATGATTTTGAGAAATATTTTTTACTTTGAGTCATACACCCCGAGCAAAAAGCGAAACCCAGCAGTATACTAATGAGGTGTTTAGTGCATCTTTGTGACCGCAGTGTTTTTACAAGCTCTGCCAATTTTTTCACGGTCAATTATAGAATTCTCATTACTACGCTCACCCTTGGACCATATATTTACCGCACTGTACCTACGCAATGGGCAGAAAATTGGGATGTTGAAAAAAAAAGTTAATCAAGCTTCTGTGATTTTTCGGGGAAGTTCCTGAATAGACTGGGGGTATACTTCAAAGAAAAAACAGTCATGAAAGGCATAAGATGCTACAGTAACAAAACTATGTTAAATCCTTTATATTAAGCAAACTACAGAAGCAAATGACTTCTGAAGCTACGACTATGGTAGTACGGTAGTACGGTAGTACGGTAGTTATGCGATGTGTACGCAATATCATGCTAAAAATCCATCTCATGACTTTACTGTAGCTCTTGAGCTACATACAGTACATCTAAAGTAAAACTTAAAATCATCAAGTATGTAAATGGCCAACAATCAAATTTCAAAGTGTCTATAATTCAAAAGTCCCATCAAAAAATATAATTTCCCCATCCAAAGTATGCATTCTAGTTTGGCAGTTGCATATTCATGTGGACTACTATATGTTCCGAAAAATAATTTGCATAGCTCTGAATCGGATTAACTGGTTTTTTTTGCAGTCGGGTGCATACACCCCTGCCATTCTTCCCCCCCCCCTCAACTCCCCTCTCCTGTTCTTCTCGCGTGGTTCTCTGTGGAAGAATGAGAAATTTCTAGCTGTCTAGATCTCAAGCCGAGAAACACTTTCCCCTAGTCGACTGGTTCAGTTACCCACTCAGGCTTTAGAGGCTGTCTAGGATTTCGACATAACTGAATGACCTTCACCACCACTACTCTAAGCTGAATAGCTTTCACCCTGTCGAAAAAACGTCGCGACGTCCCTCATGACAGTCTCGTCAAGTGCGTGTGTGTATGTGGCTCCATTGCGCCACCACCGGCAGCGTCGGCATTACGTGGTGCCCTCGGTCAAAACTGGTCGTCGGCTATTATTCGGCGTTTGTGTGCAGCCGCAGAAGATGCGCGAAAGAGCACGTGAATTTTGTAGAGAGCAGAGTGAACGCACACACACGCATACATACACACACACATACTGAGCGACGAGCTCGAGTCAACAGAAGAGCGCTGGCGGACGAGATGAGGCGGAGGTACACTGAGAGCGCAATGGCATATACCGTAACCTGCAGGGCACACATAGAGTGGTGGCGAAGTCGTTCGAGAGTGATCCCTTCCAACAAACAGCCATTACTGTGTACAATTGCGGTCTCTGCGCGCAACGACTGGGCAATGGGTCGTTTACACGAAGTAGACGATAGGTCAGGTTTGACTAGTAAACGAGAAAATTCAACTCTCTCTCCTTAAGTGCAATGGGCCAGACCGGACTCGCTCGACGAATAATCGGGGAGGAGGGGGGGGGGGGGGGTATTTTTGATGTTAAAAGTTGTTTGTGCGCCCAAAGTACGCCTATTGACCCATCATCTCTCCTACAGACATTTACGAATTCGCGCATCTTTCACGAAATTCGGACAAAGGCTCGCGCGCGCCGTTTGGCACCATGCCAACACGTGCTTCGTGCCTAATTCGTCAAGGACACAACACATATGTCAGCGCGTCGTGGGTCCAGACATATCGGAATGGGTGGGTAATGAAAATGGCGGCAGAAGGACAGCTGTTCTTTGATGGTAGCGGACGCAATGTACTTCCGACGAATGATGTTTTGGAAATGGTCAGGGATTACAAAATTTACAAGGGTAATGGGAGAGGAGATTTACTACCGCAAAACATTGGTATGGGTACGATCGCCGTTACCTCTTACCCTCCCTTGCTATCTTACTTTAAGAAACTACCACGATCATGGTAAGGCGAGATTGACCCTAGGTAGAACGTCCACTACCCTTTGACCGCTACTTTCCAAGCGAGAGAGGAAAACTAGCAAAATTAAGTTACCATAAGACGAAGCTGACCTACCGCTGAGGCATCCGTTACCTTCTAGCCCTTACTTACCACTCTAGTTAGAGGAAAACTATCAAAATGAGGTGAGTCGAAATTGAACCTATTGGTAAGACGTCCATTAATCTTTACCCTTATGCCATCCTAAATTCAAAAACACCAAAATTTGAGGTAAAGCAAAGTTGACCCTACCGGTAAGGCGTTCATTACCCTTTAACCCCTACTTGCCACCCTGAGTGAAGGAAATCCGCCAAGACGATAAATAAAGTTAGCCTTACCGAGATCGTCAGTATCCGTTGTCACATCCATATTGCCCATATGATAGTCGATCATGAGCGGGTTAGCCGATGATGAGCGGACACACCGTGCCTGGAAAAAAATTTTTAAAGGGTTGAGCATAGTTGTGGGTGACCGAAAGGTCCAAAAAACTGCGTCACCACCATTCCATGACTGAAATTCCGTCGTCGACTCGGGCGTTCGTCCACCTCCGATGGTGTCGACTTTCCACCGCAATTGGACACCTATGAATATGTTCAATGAGACGTTCTCTGAACTCAATAGGGAGATGAAACTCCTTTCACTTACCTTGTGCTCGATGAAGGTGCTAAAATGTGCGATAGGAAATTGGGCATTGCAATCACCGCAGAGCAATAGATCGCAATGATCACGAGGTGAAGAAGCACCGCGAGACATTGGAGAGTCGGTGGCCTACAAACCAACAATATTCATTTTAAATTAAAACAGGAATTTTCTGTTAGAGAAGAGATGGGTTGAGTTTTAAGAACCTTTAAATTTGAAAATTACTCCAGAGTAAGTTCCATTTGAAGAAGAATTCCAAAGAAGGAGAAATAAATGCAAAGAGTCTACAATCCATTCCATTAATTGCTTGAAAGCAGAGTAAAATTTTTGTGAAACGAAAGATGAACCTTTTTGCTGAGACTAATGGCATGAACTTTATCTACAAATTAAAACTGAAAGCAGAAAAAACTGAAAATTCAATTAACTCAAAATAAACATAATTTTCAAATATGGCATTTGGCAGAGTGGTGAACAAGGCAGTGTCAAGACTGACATTGTGCGATTAGCGAAAAAGACGAAATGAAAAAAAGGAAAAAACAATTTTTGGAAAAGATCCATTTCTGTAAAAGTAGGAAATTTGAGCCAATTTCTTGGAAAAAGTGCTGATGATTTCATGTTGAAAAAAAAACAAAGCATGCAGAATTAAGGACCCAGGATTGGGTTTTGATTATTTATTGTGCGATAAACTATGTATAAACTACTGATTTTTTGATAGTGAGTAAAATAGAAATCAGCTTACCTTCATCTCGGTCAGATCTACTTCCGCTGCTGATTCGACACCGCTATCCGAAGATGCCATTGGTGTACTTCCTTCAGAAAAAAAAATTTGAGCTCGCTGGACGGAGAGGGGGGGAAAAGCAAAAAAATTATCTATATAGTTCTTACCACTCTCTTTGATAGTCTCATTATCTGCTTCACAGGTATTCTTTCTTCGACGCCTACCGCCGTCTGAGACCTAAAAGTTGTCGTTTTATTTGAGTAGGAGAAATGGGTAACTGAACCGCTAACTCACCTGTGATTTTGATCGAGAGATATTGCTCATCGAATGTAGCTCGCAATTTTGTGCTTTTTGTTTTTTGGAGCCACGCTTGCAAATACGAGGCAGTCAATATGTGATCTTGATGGTAATGGTGCTTTGACAGTAATATTAACCTATAATAAGAAAAAACTTAGAGGATACTGTATGCTTACTGTAGGTGCTGTATAATGGACCTTACCTCTGCTATTCCATCGAGAACAGACAGAGGTGCAATTTTATGTCTTGGGCAGTGGATTATTGACTGCGTGTCTGAAATAGTCGGGGATTACTGTAGAAAAAAATCTGAGGCAAAAGAAACGAAAAAATCCCGAAAAATCACAAGATACTAAAAAAAGCTGTCGAAGAAGCCATAATAGTACTATTACTGGACTCGATCGGTTCCAGCGCAAGAGATAGCCGATATAAAAAAGAACAGGACAAAGGTGTGAGATAAGAGCACGGGGGGGGGTGTCCGAAACAAAGGCATACGGGGTGGGGGGGGGGGGGGGGAGAGAGAAGCAAAGAATGAGCAATAGAGACATCACGGAGCATAAAGCATGGCACGGACGAGCATGATCGAGCTGATAGCTTTTTTATAGGTGGGGGGGGGGGACAGAACTTATGAGGGACCATTACAAAAAATCGTAAATGGGCAATTACCAAAAGAAGAGCTAAGGGTTTTCGTTAGGTCCAAAAATTCACTGTGCAGTAAGAACTGTGAGTAAAAATTTTTTTTGATATTCAAGAAATTTCCTGAATTTACCATGGAAGTAAAAATCATTGTATAAAAACAATTAGGTAAATTAGGTAATATCACCAGCGAGATGGAAGGCGGAAAAATTCAGAACAAGAATTTTATTTGTTTCTGCAAAACAGTAGAGTATCCCAACAAAAAAGATGAGCGTCAAGCAAGGTAGATTATGCCCTCTTCCAAACAGAAATCGGGAAAAACAAATTGGCGAGAGTTGCTTCAGAATTTTCATAGATCAAAATCTATATGAGGTGAGTGCAAGTGGAAAAATCACCTATGCATACCAATACGTGGAGATTTTAGAGTTTGACAGCATTCCAATTCAATTTTTGTAAAAAAAACGAAGGCATTCACATGACAATTAATCAGTTCCAAAATCAGTATTTGATGGCCTTAAGGCTTAGACAAGTGGAATAGCACTGCATACAATAGACACGACAAAATCAGAAAGCTAAAAAAGTTGAAATTGGCTCCAGGTCAAGCTGCAACGTCAGAAAAACTCCATGAGCCACTGATAAGATATCGAGCATGTGATGTGAAAGTGAAAGAAGTGGCCAAAACGTACAACTAAACAGCATTCGAAACATTCGAAAACTCACGCACTCACTCACGCAGAAAATCAGGAAAAGTTTAAAAATCCGCAAAAAACCCCGGAGTTTTCCACATATTCCGGCTCAAGACGGGCGCAGAAACACAACAACGACAATACGCTCGAGCGGAGCATAGCAAAAAGCTGACGGCATACACACAAACGACGAGAGTCAGCGCTGAGCAGCCCCCCCCCCTCTCCGCTCGCAGGTGCGGAAGTGTCCGCCGCCAGTCCGGAAGAGGACCGGAAGACGGTCGTCAGCGGCGGCAAGCGCCGGCAGCGCAGCAGCAGCGCCGCAGCAGCACAGCCGCTTGAAACCGGACCGATCAAACAGAATGCACGCTATACGAGAAGAGCGGAAAAGAACCGCTGTGTCGCACTTCCGGAAACATTCCGCGTGTGACGTCATTTCAGGAACGCGCGAGAGAACGGAAAGGAGAGGAAGGAAGAGAGGGTAGCGCTGAGGAAAGCGTGGGAATGGCGGGTTCTTTCGGTGATGACGCGAGCAGAAACTAATTGCCATACATATCAGAAATTCTTTGGATGTTTTGCTGTGGAGTAAACTTTTCTAAGAGCTGAACATTGCTTTGAATCTTGAGAAATTCAGCAATTTCAAAAGATCTGCTTCCTTTGCAAATTGTGACGTCCTTCGAAGGCTTTACGATACAGAAGAGTACTTTTTTCACTAAGAAAATATAAGAAAACAATGAGCTATAACCGGAAAAATCATAAAAAATATCTATTTCTGACTGAGCAAAGATGTTCCAGAACAGCGACATAATGGCCAATTTTGATTTATGTGAAGCAAAACTGTGATTTATTACCCAGTGCTATTTCTGAGTGAGCCTATGGTAGCATCGCCTAAGGTGCATAAACCTAATAAACCGATGAGGTAAGCGACAAAGATTGCCGAACTTATCAAAATTCTTGGAATGTATACCTAACAAGCACAAGAAGACTTGGCTTATGATGGTTTGAGCTAGAAATCTGATGGTCATTAGGCCCCTAATGTACAGCTGTCTATTTTGTTAAGATTATAAAGGCAAGCAGTGATAAGGCAAAAATTTCCAGACGTGCTAACGAAGGCATTTTATGACCCTTTTTAGACCTCGGGACCACCTCTGTGTAACCTTGGAAGATGAGAAAAGTCAAAGGGTAAGGAGTGGGTTTTTTAGAAGTATTCAATCCCATATAGGACGATTATGTTCTTGGCTGATTCGGGTCAAGAGCCCAAAATACGAGCAATGGCAGCAGACTGGAGACATGTGAGGTCACCGCGAGTTGCGAATGAGTGTCGAAGTAAGTCCAGTGGATGCCGTCCCTCGAGAACTGTTGAAAAGAGGGCGGAGCAGTGCCGAGGGGGGACGGACGGGACGGACGAGAAGGGACTGGAGGACAGGACGAGACGGGACGATGGCGGTGGCTGTGGCGAGGTCGGTCGGTCGGGTTGGCTGGTTGGTTGATGGTTGTGTGTGTATGTGAGGTGAAAGTGCTCGACCAGTGGTGCGCAGGGATATAATCACGTTCGACGGCACACACACGTAAAAAGCCCGCACACAGCCTGAACACAGAGACCGGTCCTCTCTCACTAGTCTCCCCCCCCCCCCCCTAACAGCGCCCGCGTGTATTTCGTATGTGCTGGCGCGCTTTCACCTGCCATCAACGCGATGCCGCAAGCGCGCGTAATCGCGCGCGCAAGCGCAAGCATTGCGTAACGCGTAAGCGTTGCGCGCAAAAACGCGCGCGCTAGGCGCAACGTGTATGTTCGCATCGAAAGTGAATGTGCCGGTCGGATCGGAACGGTCGAGCTGGATTTTCGAGCGCCAAGGTCTCTTCTTGAGACCCCCCGTAAGTGAAGTGAGTGTAAGATACCAGTGTGAGGATGCGCGGATGACCTTGCTTTCACCCAGAGATCCAAAAAAAACAGCTTGAGAGGATTCATGCACCCGTCAAGATGCATGTATTTGATAGGCACTGGTGGCATACATGATGGACAGAAATCACAATTTCATAGTGCATGATAAAATGCCAAGTGGAGCTAAGGAAGATTGGAAGGGGTTTCCGATAAGAAGAAAAATGGGCAAATCAAAAAAAAATGTATTACTGCATTCTTTTTTCACAAACTAAGTAACTGCCTTCGACGTGAAGAAATAAAAAATGGAGCAATTTTTTTATATTTTTTTTACATTCAAGGATAGTGATAAAAGTGAAAATTACGCCTAATACTTTTTTCTCTATATAGTAATAATCTGTTAGTATCAGACAAGCCGAAATAGTTGACCTTCAAATTCTTTTTGGAAAATGCCAGGTCTCTTGCAAGAATTATGCTCGAAAAATGTAAGAAGAATATAAAATTTAGCAGCTAACAGAGGAAATCATTTTTTCCATATGCGACCCGAGTGGATACGGTAAGCCTATCCGCTGACCTACCAAAGGTATTATGGCGCTAACGGTAAGATACAGGAAGAGGTAGTAAACTCAAGGCGTCGGGCTCTCTAGCAAAATTATCCCATTCTTCTCACTCCTCCCCTTTTTATGGCTTCTTCAAGGGGTGAACGACATAGAAAAGTAAGTGAAAGATTTGGATGTTACTGTAGGACAGCAGAAAGACCAAAGAGAGGTGCAAGTCACTTTCTCGACATGTCTGTCCCTGATCACGTGGTCAGTAGGCCAGTTGTACCGTATAGTACAGTACAAGTGCATCGCAAGTAACGAAAATGCAACTCGCCGCCCGTCCGAAAAACACCTAGCCAATCCGTCAGTAGGGTTTTCCACCACGGCGCTCCAGCGCTGCTGATAAGAGCGCACGACTGATAGCGCTCGACAAGAACCAGCAACAGCAGCAACGAGAACAAAATGAAACAACGTAATATTACGCAAGTGAACTGATGTGCCAGTTTCTGAACGATGCAACGTTCCGGAACGCGTCAGCGTCGCGGACAACCGTCGTCGACGTCGTCAGCAGCCGACGGCACCACTGGCGCGGAAATGGTCTGCTGGAGACGAGGCCGTCGTCGTCGGCGCCGCCGCCGCTGGCTCCCCTCTCTTTATTTGCATTTCGTTTGGTCCCCGTGACGTCACAAAAGAATATCATGAATAAGCGCAGCGAGGGGCTCGGTTCCGTACATTTTGCAATACAAACACATAGACATCACACAAACAGACATGAAGGCGGGCGCCTATGGGGCTTTTGGTGGCAAATGCACATAGGCAATGAAAAGCAGAATGTGAGCTGTAGTACAGGACACAACCAGCAACAATGGTCATTTCCTTTTTAAGGAGAGGGGTGAGGCAAAAGAGCATCAAAGTAAGAGAGGAAGTAAAAAAAAGCCCGATCATGGTATGGGCATTGCAAAAAAAGATTTATAAGACAAACAGACTTTTTTGAATTTTCCGAAAGGCTTTCTTTTCAACTTTTTCGAATTTTTTTTTTGAATACAGCATCATGATCCCTGGACAATTGTAAACTTGACTTCTACAGATGATCTGTCATCTACTGAAAGATGTCCGCTCTGATTTCAGTCCCTTCGACCATTAGATGCTATCAAACTCCCACCTAATTTCCGAACTTTGATTTCCACAAGTGAGAGGGAAGGGGTGGGGTCGAGAAAGCATCAAGCGGAAAAGGTGAAAAGAGCAAGTGACTAGAATATGATGGGGGTACATAGGCCATTAAACCCTTAGATTTTTATTTTCTTCTTGAGTTGAACTTCGATCCTAAAATTTGTGATTTTTTGCGAAAATCTACAAGGGGAGAGGTTTAGTCTAGAAATTAGCTATTCACACAAGTGTCCAAAAACCCTGAACATCTTGTTATAGACTAGAAATGAGACAGTAAATAGTTTGAAAAGTCAGTACATTACGAATAGATAAATTTGCAAACTAGTCCTATCTCGCCGGCATAACCAGTCAAAGCGCTTTCTGCGCAAATCCCGACCCTATGCCTCAGTGTCAGAGCAAATTGAAGAAAAGAAGAACAAACAACTAGCAGCATACAAAGAGAGTAAGATACTGGGAAATAATCGGGTCTGCTCTCTCATTTGCGCCCTTACGACCGTCAAACGACTATCCTCGTCGATGATGATGATGACGATGAGGCGGTAAAAAGTGAGTCTAAGCCGGACTCATCAGGCACTCTCACTTGGCTTTCACTCATCCACACACGCGCGATGCGCAAGCGCTCACTATCGCCCAGGGCCCCTGAACGGGTTCGCTTTCGCCTTCTTCCGAGTGCCAGACTAGGCGCGAAAACCGGTTCGCGAGGTGGAGCATAGAGAGAAAAGACCCGATTGCGCCATAGCGCTTCATCGAAAGTGAACACGCGAAAGCCGCGCGGAATCATGCTTGCGCGCGTTTACGCGCTTACGCGCTTACGCGCGCAACACACGCGATCACGCAATCGCGGAAGCGCCGCGAGCGACGAGAGAGAGTGAGCGCACACACAGAAACGAAATGCAAATAATGCTCGCGGCACAACGCTGCTGCTGCTGGCAGGTATACAATCACGAAACAAAGAAAAGAGCTGAAAGGGGCCAATATGGGGCCCGGGGCATCGCGACACACATGACAATTTACAAGCAGCCGGACAGAACAAAGAGAGCGTGATTATGACAGCTGGAGCAGAGTTCGTGCAAATTTCGAAAGCTTTTGTGAGGGGAAGAGGGCGATATACAACACAGAAAAACAACACAATACAAAAATCTGCCAATATTGTATACATTCCCACTTCCTTATAATAAAAAAATGACGGCATTTTCTGGCAACCGCCAATACATATGGTGAAGTGGCACAGCAAATCCAAATAAGCAAAAGCAACATCTTAAGCCCGCAAGATCAGCTTCGTCACCCTATTTACAATCTGAGGTTGGCGTTATCGAGTTTTGGTGTGTCATGTGTAATTACACATGTTGCTAGATGGATCTTCTGATAGTGGATATGCTTGAGATTAGCAGTTTTCTCTAGAAAGTTCGCCAAAAAGCTTGCATTTGGTGATTTTTGATGCTTTCGCTCTAAGCGTTCTGTAACTGAGAAATGCCTCAGAGGATAAACGTTATTCGAGAAATATCAAGAAAAACCACTGCATAAAAAGATGAAGGTGATGAATAAGTAACTCTGAGCCGTGCTTCATCCAAATTCAGCCTTTTAGGTAAAATGGTGTTCTGATGCGTTCTTTACAATTCAAACAAATCTTGCGTTTATGCGAAAAAACTCCATGTTAAGTAAGTTAGAGATAGTTGCGCAAAGAATCTTTCATTTTATCAAAAGCATTTTCAACCACAATTCCCCCCCTCATTTTCTTTAATCGAAAATTTTTAGTGCACCTAGTTTTTTTTTTTACATTGAGCGATGTTGAAGTTCTTCGGATTATTTCGTAGAAGATATTGTATTCATGCAAAAATATACGAGTCAATTCTGATGCAATATGTGAATTTGCACACATACTAGTAAGTTAAAAAAACAGTTCTGATGGAAAACGACTGAGCAAAATAATCTTCTGTTGTACATAAATGTACTGCAGTTTTTCTGTTGTACTTATCTAGCTTCAACAGAATGACATTAATCATGTAAGTCGTAGGATAGTGCGCGTAGTGTGCAATCTCACAAGGTAGACTGCAAGAGATTTCACTATAAGAGAAGAGGTCCCAAAACTATGCTGAGTATAGTTTGTATAGTCTGTATAATCTATATATTCACTATATCCGTTGCTAATCGCATTTCCCGCCATAGAGCAACCCAACTATACACTAATAGTTGCAAAAAAACCCGGTCGGGGTAATCACTGCCGGGTCGAGTCCTGGGAGCACTGAAAAAAACTGGAGCACCATCGATAGTGGGTAATTGGGTAGATCTCCTACTTCTATTGAGGCCGATGTGATGCGCATGGATGTGCCATCGTCGACGACGATAGCGATGCGAGCAGTGAAAGCGAGAGGGAGGCATTGAGAGGGAAAGTGTCCGGTTGGCGCCACACGCGTAATTGCTACCGGACTGGTCCTCGTTACGTAACGACCAGGACGACGACATCGTCGACATCGCCGATGCGATGCGATGCGACCAACGACGAGCGGATTACGGTAGAAGAGTGCTGGAATCGAAAGCGCTGGTGCTGATGTGAAAATACTCGATTGGAAATTGCTGCCAGCGATCAGAGAGATTTGACGCGATGGCGCAACTCGGGGAGAGGCAATGATTTAGTTGATCTGGCTGGTATGCGATGTGAATTTGGATCTAGATTAATGGCTATGATAGTGTGCAGATTTGGTCTCAACTTTTTGTTTAGCTAAAAATAGGAAAGGGGGTGTATGCTTGCGTGAAGCCTATCCGCAAAAACTCTCTTGTTATTCTTTTTCCTAAGCTAAAGAATGCCTCTTCCACTCACCACCAATTAATAATAGTCGTAAAGTGCCGCGCATATTGTGCAAAGACATATACTGTATTATAGACGAATTCACATTATGTGATGACCCAATCAAAGTAGTTCTATGTGAGCGCTTCTACTACGGGCTTTATATAGCAAAAAATCATCTAAAGCATTTGAGTGTAAGCATTGAAAACTTGTATGAAAGCAAAGTTTCATGTAAAAATAATGGGTAAGAAAATTACAAGTTCCGAAAGAGAAAAAAAGATGAAGCAAAGGTGAATGGCGGTCAAAAAAGTTCGCCAATGAATCCAGCTACAAATTTTATAACAGAAAATCTCTGTCATCACGTTTCAATGGAAAAATTCTTCAACTTACTTACATACTTCTGAGTAGTATCTCAAAAATTTAGTGCCCCAGCTGAACTTTTTTGCAATCTTTGGAAAAAGTTTGGTCTAGATTTTTCCTACTTTTTTAGCTATGCAACTTAGTTGAAATTGTAAAGAACAAAAGAAGACTTTTTTCACAGGTAAGAGCACGCGCATTTACACCTGCAGCTTTGACAAAGTAATATGCTAGTTCAGGTTGTCCATTACAACGGTACAGAACAATTGCAAAAAAAATTTTTGAGCAAAACAGGTTCTTGGAAGAAACATTTGAAACAAATGAAAAAACACTTGAATTGGTCTATGATACATTAATGCAAATTATTTGTGATTCTGATGGTACAGCAAGATTTTGCAGGAGATAGACTTATGTAGTTTCCAACGAAAGCCATAAAATTATGAGGTGAGAGAGAACCAATGAGAGTTGAAAGGAAAAAGGTGCAGAACTATTACCCTTGGATTACACCACAAATCACTTTGCGGTAGGTAGTTTTCAGAGACGCAAAAAAATTCCGCCTCGTTGACACAGATCGTTCTTGGTGGAACGACGTAAAGACCTCGAAAAAACTGCACACAGCATATGAGAGCAGCTGATGGCCGTCAGGCATGAAGATGACGAGCGGCGAGCCAAGCGCGGCCGCGGCGACGATGAGCGCTAAGGCAGCAGCGCCGCCGCAAAGTGTCGACCAAAGTTCAGTTCGGTCGCTTTTCTGCTGGCGAAGTTGCGGCCGCGGCGGCGCAGAGAGTCAGTTATACGTTTGGTCAGTCGAGTCACTCACGTCAGTATGTGCTAGTGCCGATGCTATGAAACAGATGGCACACACACATAGCACTCACTCTTTCACTCCAATACACTCAAAATCGCGAATGCGATGATGACGATACGATCGATGCTACTTGTAAACCCGAAATGCGCAAAGTTCGGTTCTCTCGAGAGAACTGCGGTGCGATTGTGCTGTGTGCTGTTTGGTAGGGTGTGAAGAAAACTTTGAAGGTTGCACTGGAGAACCGGTTGTGCAGGAGGGGAGAGTTGTGGCAGGCAGGGCGGCCCCGGGTCGCGCACAACTCGTTGATGACCCGTCAAGGCGCTCGGGTGCCTGCGCGCTTGGGTGAGGGAACTTACATACACAATAAGGTTGCCGCCGCCTAGTTAACGGAGTTCATGAGAGGTCATGAACTGGCAGCAACGCTAGATTGCACTCAATTTGCACCGAAGATGAGCTGATTCTGCTCACGGTAACTCCGTCATCATCCTGCAGCCTATGAAACCGAATTTCGTTGAAATTCGAATTCAAAGTTCAGTAGTGAAAACTTGTATTGAGGGGTATTCTAACAAGCTGATTCCGAATATGTTAATCGTTTTACTTGACACCTAGGATTTTTTTTCTTTTTCAAATTGAAACTTGTTTTCAGAAATAAAAATTTCAAAAATTCTATGTAAGGATTTTCTGACACACTGTTTCCCAAAAAGCTAATGGTTTCGCTCCAAACTTTGAAAATCTTTTCCTTCGAAATTTTATTTATATTCCACAAATTCTGTGTAAATTTGGCAAAGTTCACAATTAGGGTTTTTTGACATGCTCTTTCCAAAAGATTCCATTTTATTTTCTCAAACATAGCAGATTATTTCCGTTCGTTTTTCAGGTTTATCAAATTTGCAGTGAAATTTTCGAAAAAGAGTTTGAAATTCAAAATAGAAAAGGTTTGAGGCTACAAGCAAAACCCTTAGCTTTTTGGGAAACAGCATGTCGGAAAACCCTTACATAGGATTTTTGAAAGCTTTGTTGGAAAATTTGTGAAAACAAGTTTCATTCAAAAAAGAAAAAAATCCTAGGTTTCAAGTAAAACGATTGACACATTCGGAATAGCGTGTTAGAATACCCCTAAATACAAGTTTTTGTCCTAATTGGACTGATTTTACTACTGAACTTTGAATTCGAATTTCAACGAAATTCGGTTTCACAGGCTGCAGGATGATGACGGAGTTATCGTGAGCAGAATCAGCTCATCTTCGGTGCAAACTGAGTGCAATTTAGCGTTGCTGCCAGTTCATGACCTCTCATGAACTCCATTAACTAGGCGGCGGCGACCTTATTGTGTATGTAAGTTCCGTTCCCCTGCGCGCTTACCTCTGCCTGGCTTATAGTAGCTCATAAGAATCAAAAAACCACGCACCAACAGCACACAGCGCCATCTAACCAAATATTTTTTCGGGTAACGTGAGCGAGGTGAGCGCGGAGGGCGGTTTTGCCACCACTGCTGGCCCCGGAGGAAGCGCGACTCACTCGCATTATGCGCGCGCCGAGCGAGCGGCAAAAAGCGAAAGCGAAACTGGATACGCGACAGCACATACAATATAACACGCCAGAAATTGGCCGGCGGGCAATACACCGCCGCGCTCTCACTGCGCGCCTCTGCCGCCAGCCTTTCGTCAGGCGGTGGCGCCAGCGAAGGGAAGGAACGAAAGGAAAAGTGAGATAGGAAAAAGCGCACAGGAGATTGATACCTTCAGAAAATACTGTAGAAGTTAACTGGAGTCAAGCTTTAGGGCACATGGGATGCAAAGAAAAAGTGAGATTTACTCTTTACTATGGATGAATTTAGGACTCGCATTGGAAAGTCGAAGCATAGGTAACCAGGAGGGAAGGTACCAGTGAGGAATGGGTATAGGATAGCTAAGTCTTCACAACTTCACTACGACGACCATTACTTGCCGTCTCCCTATCTTTCTGTCCGTCCCTCTCTTTCCTACCTCTCTCTTCCCCTCATCTTCCCTCTTCCCCCTTCCCCCTCCTTCCCCGAAACATCGAACTCTTATAGCACCGAAAATGAAATGACTTGAAGAAATGCAGCTATATTTTACATTCCCTTGAGAAACGTGTAAACCCCCTAAACCCCCGTCCCATTCCCCGTCCCCTAAGCCATGAAATCGTAAAAGAATGTTTGCCCATCGTAATTTATTGTTCACCATGCCCATCGGCAAAGGAGATGCAATGTGAATTGATGACATTGTAATAGCAAAGTTTGGAAGATACGCTTAAAGCAGCTACACCATCAAAAAACCTTGAACAGGAAAGATTCGATTGGAGCGGTAAGCAATTTCAAGGGAAGAAGTCACAAACTGTTCATTTTCATGGAATTTGTGTAAAAGTGAACGCAGGGAATTTTTTGATTTATAAAAAATCTTAACAACTAGAGAAGAAAATGTGGAACTGGGTTACTGCCTTAACTGTTTCATCATATATGCTTCATTGTCAATTCATAAAACAGGCCAAAGCAAAAGAAATGCTAGAGACTAAAAGCTACGTAAAAATTACGCAAGAAAAAACCGAGGTCAATGACGATTGGTAAGAAACCTCGTGTGACTCACATAAAAGCATGCCCATGACATCGAAGATCAAATGCCAAGAAAGAAAACGCGTGATTACCGCAACCTCAAGAAGAGTCTAGAAGAAAGCTGCACTAAAGGAATATATGAAGTCGTAAAGCTATTGGAAGGCATACGTTTTTCAGGGTAGAGCGATGCCATAGCTCTTGTCACAGAAAAAAAGATGTAAGTCTAAATGTGTGTATTTTACTTGACAAATGATATCAACTAAAGCCTCATGAAGGATAAAGATCAGTTTTGAGTTTTCGCTGGAGTTCAGAAGGAAAATTGAGGAAGACGTGTTCGATAAAAGAATCTAGCACTAAAAAAACCTTTGGTGGCCACGCTAAGACACCTTCGAAGGTTGAAATAATGGGCAAAAGTCAAAGGAACTCAGAGGAGCTAGGCCAAGTTTACTGAGTGAGGGTTCTCAAACTTCTTTGAAAGATCTCTGAGCTCATCTTTGAACCAAGCGCACACGTCCAAAGAGAGGTGGATTGCATAAGGCAACACACGCGGAAGGAAGAAGCAGGCACGGCGACTGGATAAGAGAGGGAAAGTGAAAATCGGCCCGGGTCCACTCTGACTGTCGCTATCGTATCGAAAGCGAAACAGGTCCAGCTGCTGTTAGCGGCGACGCAACTAGCGCCCCGCCGACGGCGATTCGGCACGACGGTTACGCCATCGCCATCGAAGGCGAAATCGCCTCCAGCGCGCGCGTAGCGAAAGTTGCAAAGCAAAAGCAAAAGCTAAGCAGCTACCGCTGCCGCGGCGACGTCGACCGCGCCGGCCGGACTTGTTACGCCATCGCCATCGCGGACTCGTTTTG